AGCTGTCGTGTGGGCACTCAAACATTTCAGAGACATCATCTATAACTACCCTGTCCATATAGACTCTTATGGTCAAGCCACCCGTACCACTCAAGGAACTAGTACTCTTAGATCATGTGCTCCATCGCAAAGTTATGCTGGGATCGCCTGCCAGATGGGTACATCAACTTGTTATTCCTGCGTCGATAGTTCCTACTGTATTAAAACTTGTTCACGACGCCCCACACAGTGCGCATCCTGGCAAGGACCGCACCATCAAGCAGGCTCGTCTTATGTACTACTGGCCCAAAATGGCCAAACAGATTGAACGTCACATGGATCAATGTCTAACATGCCTAGCTCACAGAGGCCATGTTGCTGGCCCGAACCCGATTCAGACTTACCCTACGACTAATGCACCTTGGGATCGTGTTTCTATGGATTTGTTAACAAATTTTGCTGAAACTTCCAGAGGAAATAAACATCTCCTAGTTATGGTAGATAACTTCTCTAGATACTGTGAACTGGTTCCAATTCCAAACAAGACTGCAGAAACTATAGCTAGTGCTTTTCATTATCATATAATTTGCAGGTATGGTCCACCCAGAGTTATACTCTCTGACAACGGCCCGGAATTCAACAATTCTGTTCTGGAACAACTGGCTACATTGCACAACATCAAAAAGTGTAATATAATGCCTTATCAACCGGCTAGCAATGGCCTTGATGAAAGAACTAACAAGAAGGTCCTTGATGCACTTAGAGTGACAGTCAATCGGGACAGTCACATGTGGGATGAACTTATGCCAATCGTCCAATATTCGATAAACTCCTCTATAGGAGACACACCTCACTTTGTGCTATTTGGGACAGACATGAGATTTCCTAATGCCATCATCTCCTCCTGCCCGCGCCACTCTACAACTATGACGACTATGTTAAGGTAAAATGGAGAGACACTCAACTGGTGTTCCAAAGGAACATCTCTCTAAAGTACTGATGATTTCACGCGGTTACAAAACGCTCATGTTAAACCTTTGAGAATAGGACCTGGATCTTTAGTAATGATCCTCAACCAGCGACGAGATGGTCCCATGTACAAACTGACTGAGAAGTTTCTTGGTCCCTACAGAGTTCTTGAGCATATCACAGGTAATAAGTACAAGCTGGAAAACCTAGCCACTGGAGAACAAGTACATGAGCATCTCAACCACATGAAGTTAGCCCGTCTGACTGTTGACGATGACACCCCGACTCCTGTCCCTGACAACGTACCGTGTGACCATACCACTGTGACATCCACTTCGGTCTCAGACACGCCCAGCGATACTACCCCACCACGTACTCACACATACAATCTTCGGTCCAGACCTGTTATTTCGACAGTACACCACCAACAGTCTGATGATTCATCTTCGTGTTACTGTGGTGTTCCAGTCTGTAAGGGACAATGGATGCGTTCTATCTGCTCCCCTCTCCCTGCCTGTTCATACATGGCAGAGGGAGACTACGTTCGTGGTGGATTAGCACCTGAGAATTCATAGTTTTATGACTAGATTTAAGAGTGATTACAACAATCGTTTCGCAACCCTTGGTTCAATGTATATAGACCCTTCCACCTCAGGTATCTTTATTCGTAGTTTATTGATCTTGTCGTGTCTCTATATACTATGTAGGTCCTAGTGTTCCTGCCACGTTCATGCTCTCCGTATTTTAGTGGAAATGTCGCTTATTCTAAGTATTGCCATGTAATATATTGTGCCTACATTAGTGTCTGCCGTTTATAATCTACTTAACGGGTAACACTGCAGCTGAGCATCATGAATTCCTACGCACAACTTCTGGTCCGCTGACTCTTCAACTATCACCTCTACCTGCAGCCGGACCTCCTGCCTCCAGTTTGCGCAGACACTTAGCTAGTTAGACATGATGCTCCATGGATAGCTTAGGTTGAGGATTATATTTAAGCATTGTACTCGTTATTCATGCATGTCCGAGACGGTGTTGGACGTCTCAAAAACTTGTTTGTTTACAGCCACTATAGGTAAATCACTGTATATAATGTTAGTTAGGTACACGCCCAAGGGTTGTCAAATTTGTCAAGCAGATCGCCGAGGACGCCGATGATAGCGTGCCGAGCAGGGTTGGACGCCAGTTAGTCGCCATGGACATACACATAGGGTGACCTAATACCCTGTTAAGCTAAACAACTTAATAGGTATCAACAACGTTGTCAGCAGTTGTCAACAGATTTGAATGTAGCCCTGTGCCTGCTGCAACCCTCAGACACAGCCCGGGCATCAGAGCATCTACATGCGCTCCCTTACACACTCTACAAGCTAGTTCGTGGCCCGCGTAGAAGATATATATATATATATTTATAATAAAACTGAGGAAAAGCAGTGGACGTTTGGTACTCCAATTCCTGCCATTACCGAGTAAACTCCAGACCATCCTAATCATTCTACAACAACATCGACCGATGTTACAACTCACCTGAGGTGTGAGGTGGTGCACGGTGAGGGTCACCACCCACCTGAGGTGTAAGGTGGTGTACAGTGAGGGTCACCACTCACCTGAGGTGTAAGGTGGTGTACAGTGAGGGTCACCACTCACCTGAGGTGTGAGGTGGTGCACGGTGAGGGTCACCACTCACCTGAGGTGTGAGGTGCTGCACAGTGAGGGTCACCACTCACCTGAGGTGTAAGGTGGTGTACAGTGAGGGTCACCACTCACCTGAGGTGTGAGGTGGTGCACGGTGAGGGTCACCACTCACCTGAGGTGTAAGGTGGTATACAGTGAGGGTCACCACTCACCTGAGGTGTGAGGTGGTGCACGGTGAGGGTCACCACTCACCTGAGGTGTAAGGTGGTGTACAGTGAGGGTCATCACTCACCTGAGGTGTAAGGTGGTGTACAGTGAGGGTCACCACTCACCTGAGGTGTGAGGTGCTGCACAGTGCGGGTCACCACTCACCTGAGGTGTGAGGTGGTGCACGGTGAGGGTCACCACCCACCTGAGGTGTAAGGTGGTGCACGGTGAGGGTCACCACTCACCTGGGGTGTGAGGTGGTGCACAGTGAGGGTCACCACCCACCTGAGGTGTGAGGTGGTGCACAGTGAGGGTCACCACCCACCTGAGGTGTGAGGTGCTGTACAGTGCGGGTCACCACTCACCTGGGGTGTGAGGTGGTGCACAGTGAGGGTCACCACTCACCTGAGGTGTGAGGTGGTGCACAGTAAGGGTCACCACTCACCTGGGGTGTGAGGTGGTGCACAGTGAGGGTCACCACTCACCTGAGGTGTGAGGTGCTGTACAGTGCGGGTCACCACCCACCTGAAGTGTGCGGTGGTGCACAGTGAGGGTCACCACTCACCTGAGGTGTGAGGTGCTGTACAGTGCGGGTCACCACTCACCTGAGGTGTAAGGTGGTGCACAGTGAGGGTCACCACTCACCTGAGGTGTGAGGTGGTGCACAGTGAGGGTCACCACCCACCTGAGGTGTGAGGTGGTGCACAGTGAGGGTCACCACCCACCTGAGGTGTGAGGTGCTGTACAGTGCGGGTCACCACTCACCTGGGGTGTGAGGTGGTGCACAGTGAGGGTCACCACTCACCTGAGGTGTGAGGTGGTGCACAGTGCGGGTCACCACCCACCTGAGGTGTGAGGTGGTGCACAGTGAGGGTCACCACTCACCTGAGGTGTGAGGTGGTGCACAGTGAGGGTCACCACTCACCTGAGGTGTGAGGTGGTGCACAGTGAGGGTAACCACTCACCTGAGGTGTGAGGTGGTGCACGGTGAGGGTCACCACTCACCTGAGGTGTGAGGGTCACCACTCACCTGGGGTGTGAGGTGGTGCACAGTGAGGGTCGCCACTCACCTGAGGTGTGAGGGTCACCACTCACCTGAGGTGTGAGGTGGTACACAGTGAGGGTCACCACTCACCTGAGGTGTGAGGGTCACCACTCACCTGGGGTGTGAGGTGGTGCACAGTGAGGGTCACCACTCACCTGAGGTGTGAGGTGGTGCACAGTGAGGGTCACCACTCACCTGAGGTGTGAGGGTCACCACTCACCTGAGGTGTGAGGGTCACCACTCACCTGAGGTGTGAGGTGGTGCACAGTGAGGGTCACCACTCACCTGAGGTGTGATGTGGTGCACAGTGAGGGTCACCACTCACCTGAGGTGTGAGGGTCACCACTCACCTGAGGTGTGAGGGTCACCACTCACCTGAGGTGTGAGGTGGTGCACAGTGAGGGTCACCACTCACCTGAGGTGTGAGGGTCACCACTCACCTGGGGTGTGAGGTGGTGCACAGTGAGGGTCACCACTCACATGAGGTGTGAGGGTCACCACTCACCTGGGGTGTGAGGTGGTGCACAGTGAGGGTCACCACTCACCTGAGGTGTGAGGTGGTGCACAGTGAGGGTCACCACTCACCTGAGGTGTGAGGGTCACCACTCACCTGAGGTGTGAGGTGGTGCACAGTGAGGGTCACCACTCACCTGAGGTGTGAGGTGGTGCACAGTGAGGGTCACCACTCACCTGAGGTGTGAGGTGGTGCACAGTGAGGGTCACCACTCACCTGGGGTGTGAGGTGGTGCACAGTGAGGGTCACCACTCACCTGGGGTGTGAGGTGGTGCACAGTGAGGGTCACCACTCACCTGAGGTGTGAGGTGGTGCACAGTGAGGGTCGCCACTCACCTGAGGTGTGAGGTGGTGCACAGTGAGGGTCACCACTCACCTGAGGTGTGAGGTGGTGCACAGTGAGGGTCACCACTCACCTGGGGTGTGAGGTGGTGCACAGTGAGGGTCACCACTCACCTGAGGTGTGAGGTGGTGCACAGTGAGGGTCACCACTCACCTGAGGTGTGAGGTGGTGCACAGTGAGGGTCACCACTCACCTGAGGTGTGAGGGTCACCACTCACCTGGGGTGTGAGGTGCTGCACGGTGAGGGTCACCACTCACATGAGGTGTGAGGGTCACCACTCACCTGAGGTGTGAGGGTCACCACTCACCGCAGGTGTGAGGTGCTGCATCACGAGTGGGAGGATCCGCTTCTGGTCGTCAGCGGCCACATCAGCACCATAGGTGGTCCTCGGCCAATCTGTAGACAACACAACTGTTGTAGGGTCTCTGGGGTGTTGTAGGGTCTCTGGGGTGTTGTAGGGTCTCTGGGGTGTTGTATGGTCTCTGGGGTGTTCTATGGTCTCTGGGGTGTTGTAGGGTCTCTGGGGTGCAGTATGGTCTCTGGGGTGTTGTAGGGTCTCTGGGGTGTTGTAGGGTCTCTGAGGTATTGTATGGTCTCTGGGGTGTTGTAGAGTCTCTGGGGTGCTGTATGGTCTCTGGGGTGTTGTAGGGTCTCTGGGGTGTTGTAGGGTCTCTGGGGTGTTGTAGAGTCCCTAGGGTGTTGTAGAGTCTCTGGGGTGATATATGGTCTCTGGGGTGTTGTAGGGTCTCTGGGGTGTTATATGGTCCCTGGGGCGTTGTAGGGTCTCTGGGGTGTTGTAGAGTCTCTGGGGTGTTGTATAGTCTCTGTGGTGTTGTGATGTCTCTGGGGTATTGTAGAGTCTCTGGGGTATTGTAGGGTCTCCGGGGTGTTGTAGGGTCTCTGGGGTGTTATATGGTCCCTGGGGTGTTGTAGGGTCTCTGGGGTGTTGTAGGGTCTCTGGGGTGATATATGGTCTCTGGGGTGTTGTAGGGTCTCTGGGGTGTTATATGGTCCCTGGTGTGGGACATTTGGGGCTTGAATCTGATTATTTAAATATTAATGTAGTAAATTAAATTACGAAGGACCACCCGCTTTTATAGTAAAGAAGGAAACTGAGAATTTCTGATCATTAGATAATTCCTAGATGAACCAGTAACTATGGATGCTATACTAGAGAATATGATCATAGAAATAATTAATGGGCTGTATAATTAAATGAATCAAACCCTCAAACACCTACATTGGGGGGTTATTACTGGAAGTCAGTACGTCCAGGAACTAGTGTGGTTCGTTCACAAATCCAAATTATAATAAGCTAATCCTATGAATTATAGTGAAACTAATGTCATTACCATAAATGGGAACATAGATTATAAGTATAATAATGATAGTCACAATAAACACATGTTAATCCAGAGAAATTCTGCATATAAGTAATTCAGAAACTTCATGAATGAATACAAAGAATCTTAGCTAAAAGACGATTCCTTTATGTAAGCCACGATGCTTCCTCTAATTCCCTGGGCTCGGCTGGCTGACGAATGGGATGGATTAACATGGGAGAAGGCGGCAGGGTGAATTCTTCTCACGTGCTGCAAAACAAATATTTACAGTAGCAACTAATTAAACTACTGAATCTCTATATTCAAGAATTTAAGAGTTACAGGTGATAATAAGTAATCACCTGTGGTTTGGTGTTATCATGCGTCGTCACGGTCAATCACCCAGCTACTACACTACACTTTACCAGATGCATCAAATAAAGATAAGATACTTAGCTAATATGGGCACTGTATAAGTTTTAAGATTGCCGAAATTCGCGTCCCCAGGCTCTGGCTTCAGCCTATCCTGGATAATGGCGCGCTTCCCTGGCCGGTCACGTGTAGTCAGGAACCAGATTAAAAAGGTTCTTTATGTTACACCAACACCAGTTGAAGATATTATCTGCAAGGTTGTTCACGCCTCACAGTGGCGACTTTCATCTGAGGATGGATAACGTCTACCCTGATGGCTGGGCAATGGCGTCTCCTCGTGAGCACAATACGGGTAGGTCTGCCTCAGAGCGTGTACTGGCTTGGTCCTCCTCACCCACGCCGCGTCCCGCGTTCATTAACCAAATTATTGTCATGAACATTAATATTTCTCGCATTTATGCTTGAAATGTTGGAGACTGGACGGGTTTATTATTTAGAAGAGGGAAATATTATTATTTGCCAGTTTAGTGATAGTAAACGTATAAGGGAGAGGAATTAATGTTGTAGGGTCTCTGGGGTGTTGTAGGGTCTCTGGGGTGTTGTAGGGTCTCTGGGGTTGTAGGGTCTTGTAGGGTCTCTGGGGTGTTGTAGTGGTCTCTGGGGTGTTGTAGGGTCTCTGGGGTGTTGTCTGGTCTCTCTCTGGGGTGTTGTAGGGTCTCTGGGGTGTTGTAGGGTCTCTGGGTGTTGTAGGGTCTCTGGGGTGTTGTAGGGTCTCTGGGGGTCTCTGGGGTGTTGTAGGGTCTCTGGGGTGTTGTAGGGTCTCTGGGGTGTTGTATGGTCTCTGGGGTGTTGTAGGGTCTCTGGGGTGTTGTATGGTCTCTGGGGTGTTGTAGAGTCTTAGGGGGTGTTGTAGGGTCTCTCGGGTGTTGTATGGTCTTTGGGGTGTTGTAGGGTCTCCGAGGTGTTGTATGGTATCTGGGGTGTTGTATGGTCTCTGGGGTGTTGTAGGGTCTCTGGGGTGTTGTATGGTCTCTGGGGTGTTGTAGGGTCTCTGGGGTGTTGTAGGGTCTCTGGGGTGTTGTAGGGTCTCTGGGGTGTTGTAGGGTCTCTGGGGTGTTGTAGGGTCTCTGGGGTGTTGTAGGGTCTCTGGGGTGGTAGGGTCTCTGGGGTTGTAGGGTCTCTGGGGTGTTGTAGGGTCTCTGGGGTGTTGTAGGGTCTCTGGGGTGTTGTCTCTGGGGTGTTGTAGGGTCTCTGTTGGGTGTTGGGTGTTGGTCTCTGGGGTGTTGTATGGTCTCTGGGGTGTTGTAGGGTCTCTGGGGTGTTGTAGGGTCTCTGGGGTGTTGTAGGGTCTCTGGGGTGTTGTAGGGTCTCTGGGGTGTTGTAGGGTCTCTGGGGTGTTGTTTGGTCTCTGGGGTGTTGTATGGTCTCTGGGGTGTTGTAGGGTCTCTGGGGTGTTGTAGGGTCTCTGGGGTGTTGTAGGGTCTCTGGGGTGTTGTAGGGTCTCTGGGGTGTTGTAGGGTCTCTGGGGTGTTGTAGGGTCTCTGGGGTGTTGTAGGGTCTCTGTGTTGGGTGTTGTTGTAGGTCTCTGGGGTGTTGTAGGGTCTCTGGGGTGTTGTATGGTCTCTGGGTGTTGTGTCTTGTATGGTCTCTGGGGTGTTGTCTGGGGTGTTGTGGTCTCTGGGGTGTTGTATGGTCTCTGGGGTGTTGTAGGGTCTCTGGGGTGTTGTATGGTCTCTGGGGGGTGTTGTATGGGGTCTCTGGGGTGTTGTAGGGTCTCTGGGGTGTTGTAGGTCTCTGGGGTGTTGTAGGGTCTCTGGGGTGTTGTAGGGTCTCTGGGGTGTTGTAGGGTCTCTGGGGTGTTGTAGGGTCTCTGGGGTGTTGTAGGGTCTCTGGGGGGTTGTAGGGTCTGTGTAGGTCTCTCTAGGGGGTGTTGTATGGTCTCTGGGGTGTTGTAGGGTCTCTGGGGTGTTGTAGGGTCCCTGGGGTGCTGTATTGTATGGTCTCTGGGGTGTTGTAGAGTCTCTGCGGTGTTGTTGAGTATGGTCTCTGGGATGTTGTAGGGTCTCTGGGGTGTTGTAGGGTCTCTGGGGTGTTGTATGGTCTCTGGGGGGTTGTAGGGTCTCTGGGGTGTTGTAGGGTCTCTGGGGTGTTGTAGGGTCTCTGGGGTGTTGTAGGGTCTCTGGGGTGTTGGGGTGGGGTTGTAGGGTCTCTGGGGTGTTGTATGGTCTCTGGGGTGTTGTAGGGTCTCTGGGGTGTTGTATGGTCTCTGGGGTGTTGTAGGGTCTCTGGGGTGTTGTAGGGTCTCTGGGGTGTTGTAGGGTCTCTGGGGTGTTGTAGGGTCTCTGGGGTGTTGTAGGGTCTCTGGGGTGTTGTAGGGTCTCTGTTGTAGGGTCTCTGGGGTGTTGTAGGGTCTCTGGGGTGTTGTAGGGTCTCTGGGGTGTTGTAGGGTCTCTGGGGTGTTGTAGGGTCTCTGGGGTGTTGTAGGGTCTCTGGGGTGTTGTAGGGTCTCTGGGGTGTTGTAGGGTCTCTGGGGTGTTGTATGGTCTCTGGGGGTGTTGTAGGGTCTCTGGGGTGTTGTAGGGTCTCTGGGGTGTTGTAGGGTCTCTGGGGTGTTGTAGGGTCTCTGGGGTGTTGTATGGTCTCTGGGGTGTTGTAGGGTCTCTGGGGTGTTGTAGGGTCTCTGGGGTGTTGTATGGTCTCTGGGGTGTTGTATGGTCTCTGGGGTGTTGTAGGGTCTCTGTAGGGTCTCTGGGTTGTTGTATGGTCTCTGGGGTGTTGTAGGGTCTCTGGGGTGTTGTAGGGTCTCTGGGGTGTTGTAGGGTCTCTGGGGTGTTGTAGGGTCTCTGGGGTGTTGTATGGTCTCTGGGGTGTTGTAGGGTCTCTGGGGTGTTGTAGGGTCTCTGGGGTGTTGTAGGGTCTCTGGGGTGTTGGGTGGGGTGTTGTAGGGTCTCTGGGGTGTTGTATGGTCTCTGGGGTGTGTTGTAGGGTCTCTGGGGTGTTGTAGGGTCTCTGGGGTGTTGTAGGGTCTCTGGGGTGTTGTATGGTCTCTGGGGTGTTGTAGGGTCTCTGTGGTGTTGTAGGGTCTCTGGGGTGTTGTAGGGTCTCTGGGGTGTTGTAGGGTCTCTGGGGTGTTGTAGGGTCTCTGGGGTGTTGTAGGGTGTTGTAGGGTCTCTGGGGTGTTGTAGGGTCTCTGGGGTGTTGTAGGGTCTCTGGGGTGTTGTAGGGTCTCTGGGGTGTTGTAGGGTCTCTGGGGTGTTGTAGGGTCTCTGGGGTGTTGTAGGGTCTCTGGGGTGTTGTAGGGTCTCTGTTGTAGGGTCTCTGGGGTGTTGTAGGGTCTCTGGGGTGTTGTAGGGTCTCTGGGGTGTTGTAGGGTCTCTGGGGTGTTGTTGTGGGGTGGGTCTCTGGTCTCTGGGGTGTTGTAGGGTCTCTGGGGTGTTGTAGGGTCTCTGGGGTGTTGTAGGGTCTCTGGGGTGTTGTAGGGTCTCTGGGGTGTTGTAGGGTCTGGGGTGTTGTAGGGTCTCTGGGGTGTTGTATGGTCTCTGGGGTGGTGTGTAGGTCTCTGGGGTGTTGTAGGGTCTCTGGGGTGTTGTAGGGTCTCTGGGGTGTTGTAGGGTCTCTGGGGTGTTGTTGGTCTCTGGGGTGTTGTAGGGTCTCTGGGGTGTTGTGGTCTCTGGGGTGTTGTAGGTCTCTGGGGTGTTGTAG